CAACCCAATGGAAACAACCAACTTTACTTGCCAATGTTTATGGTTATGGATTTCATTATAAAACCCATATGTAATGTTTAGACCTTCAAATGGTTCACAGCTTTAGAGCGGCTTGACTTTCAATTGCTGAAACAAACAAACCTCCCCCCCAAAAAACAAGATCATTAACAAGCTAAATGGAGTATCAGACGAGCCACGACACAACAATATAAATAATCTAGGCAATGTTCATTTACAAAACATATCCGACCAATTTACATAGCAAAATGTAGCTGGTTCTTAAAAAATTTATCAAAAATCATGTACAGAGCATACTGAGCGTTATTTATAGTGCAGTATCATATGTTCTTCCATGTACTGGTATTTAACTGATATTATGCAACGTTTTTACAACATTCGGAATTCTAAGTTATCAAAACAGCATTTTTGAGGATTATTCTGCATAGGCATTGTCACGCTTGAGGAACCTCAGTTGCAACGATATTAAAAACCAATTCCAATGTCCAGTTAAAAAAAAAACTATGTAAAAATGAAAAGGTGCATCTAAAAGCGTTTCATAAATTATTTTATTTAGCCCAAATGGTAGTTTCATTTGTTTCAAGACAGAAGTACAAATTAATCTGTACATTATTATGGGATAAATGCACAAGAGGGCACGGAAACTGCAAGGGAGAAGCTTGGGAATGAACTGGATTGTGCTGACGGTCTCAGAAGTGACCGGAGAGTGTTTCTGTGTTTTCCTGAAAAGATATACCTGCATTCTTCTGAATTTTAGGAAGCCTTAAAATTCAGAAGAGTAGCTATGTGGTGCTGTAGAAAGCAGAAGATAATTTCTGCTTGGACTGATTCTTTGCACTTTGTTGATAAAGTAGTCTATAGTCAAGGCATGAAACACTGCCAGCCACATTTCTGCGCTTACCATTATTCACTCTTGAATTTTTGTTGCAATGTTCAGTGTCTCAAAAACACTGAATGACAGTGCTAGACACACCTCTACCCACACAGCAACACACACACTTCGAACATCTGTGCCCAAACCTCTTCAAGCATTCATATGAATAGCAGATGAAACCTGTGACCTTCAAATGTGCCTTACATTGCTGTCAACAATTTGAATGAAATAAAAAAAGGAGAAAAAAAAATCTCAGGAAAATTGAACTCCATTGCACAGAGTAATGACTTCTATTCTGTTGAATAAACATGTCTAAACTTTTTAAGTCACTGGATTGACAATTTGTATGGCTCAACAAGCTTTGCTCACGTCTCCAAGCTCCCCGAGTACTTTAGGGAGGTCTTAAGTAACTAACCAAATCCAGCATTAACAGAAGATGGGTACAAATACCTTTGCTCCTCTTTGTTTTCCTGAGGCACAGCCATCATTACAGAGGAGGCCACAACAACTAAAAAAAAGAGCACCCCCCCACTTGCCCCGATGTCTTTTCCCCGTTTAACAATGGATTCCTGCTCACAATTAGCAATCCCATGTACCATTCTACTGCTTCTTAGTATTGACAGGAGCTGCAAGCCTTCCAAAAGTTACTCCAATTTCCGTTGTGCTTTTGTACACCAGTTACCCTTGTCTGAAAAGCCCAGTTAGGTATTGTTGCAAAAAAACGTGTATGTCCACATTTATCCCTTTCCTCCGTAATTCATGCCTTGCTTTGTGTGGTTGGTCCTATTCAGGAGGCCCAGAAAGGCCTGCTGATTAGTGACTCAGCATGAGCCTAAACTCTGGGCCTAAACCCGAGGCCGAGCCCCGTATTCATGCTGGCGTCCTCATTTCCTCCCTGAAAAAAAAGTCATAATAATAAAATCTTTTTTTGGAGCCTCCTGATATTTTGTGGAGCCCCCTTAGACAGGTACCATGCTCCATTTATTTTAAACCCAGGGGGCTAGAAACCTGGCCAATGCCACCCCTGTAATTATTTCTCTACAGCAGCCCATGTGAGAAGGGGGGAGGGGAAGGACTTGTAGGATGAAAAACTGGACACACAATGGGCAAAGGATGTACTTTCAAAAGATTCATTTAATATACATCTGATTAAGAAAAGATTTGCAAAAATATAAACGCCTGGTTACAAAGGGTTCACTGCATTGCCTTGAAAGCTATAAATGATGTGTCTTCAGCCAGCCACAAAATAAAAAAACAGAATTCAGTTTTATACAACAATAGGAATGACAGCCCAGGTGCCACAGCCCTGTGACAGTCGATGAACTATAGATATCATTCGAGTCGTGTGGGCACCATTGTCAGGGGAGGATTGCTGTCTATAGTAACTGCTGTCATTCCAGTGCTGTGAAAAGACAGGCACTAGTGGTAGGGCACAGCTGATAGCTTTGAAAAGTGTAATCTTTTCTTTCCTCCCACGAGCCTCTGGCACGTTTTCTCCATTGTGGTTATTAGAAGAAATTGTAAAGAAAAGAAGCGAAAAAAGAGACCAACAAAGAGGAAGAGCAATCCACAAGCAAGGGAAAGATGTAAATTTATGCTGTCTCCATCCAACTTATTTTCATTGATGCCATTGACAATTTTTGATATCTGATCCTCTTTTTTGGTAAATTCTTAGTGACAACTGAGGCAAATGATTGTTAGGTTGCACTGCATTAGGATATTATCATGCTGTATCGAGGCTCGGTCAGATCTGTGAAATAGTTATGTTGGAAAACAACTAAAGTGGCAGGATGTTATTTTAAACTGAAATTTGACTACTATTTTCTTAGGAGAAGGAAAAAATACCTTTGTGGAGGGGGACAAAATCTTGGCTTTGGTTATACTTTGTTGTCTCTCTGTCAAACCAGAAAGTTTGTGTTGACTTTAACAGAGAACATTTTCCCATAACAGCTCCAGATGAGACTGAAAACATTTAAGTCTTTTTTTCAGTCTCATTGTCTTCGGCCCTTCAACAACCACCCCCTCACCTCCCCAAGTCCTGTCATGAGGTATTGTACTGAGAGTTAACAGTAAAAAAGAAATGGCATATTTCAAGAAATAAAATCATGTTATCCTGTAAGCTGAGTGCGAAATTATCTTTAATAAAATCAGATTTGGAAAATAACATGGTGGTAATTACCCCCCGCCTCGTTAACGCTATGCCTTGTAAAATAGTCCCGTGATTTGAGCTTTTGCTGCAGCATTACATTAAAATTCAGAGATCTTACCAACTCCGGAGTCAGAAGTTACTCCATCCACTACTGTTCATAATAACCTTCGTGGAATTTATTTGGAACATAAGCACTTACACTGCTTTGATGGTTTCAAGTCCAAAGATGTCAATCAGATGCCTCCCAAATCAGCATGAAGAATTCATTTACACTTATTTTCCTACTATTTGATGTAATTTTATGTGCCAATGTGCTGCATAATACAGTTTTAATGTACAACTAATTCTCTACCATTAATTTGTCAACATGATTACTAGATATGCCACAGGGAGAAGCAGGCTGCTTTTAAATATATACAAGACATTAATGTTTTTCTTTTCATAAAAGCAGGTTTACATAGGAAATGACAAAGATTTACATAATGCTACCAGTGAGGTCTGTGAAAGCTATGAAAGCTGAAATTTCCCATCTCAGTTGATTTCTATCACGAAGCTCTGCCAGTCCCCATTCAGTTAACTGCCATTCCTTTTTAAAATCAGGAATTAGAAAACATTAGCTTCAGTGCTCTGAAATGAACTACTCTGTCTCTTGGAAATGAGACCAAGATATGGCAATCTCTTATTTCCCTAATGACCAATGAGCTTTGCTCATATTGTTTTTTTTTTTGCTACAGGACAATATGGAAATAAGCACTAACTGTCATTATAAGCTTGCATTGAATTCTGAACCTTATAGAATGAGGTATAATGTAATCTGACCCTTTAAATACAATGTCTATACATGGCATGTATTCACTGATGTTAATAAAAGATCCTTGTCTCTTAATTTTTCACTCGCGTCTCAAGTATATTAGAACGATTGCACTCTGTGGAGATGACAGTTTTCACATTTTCCATAACAAATTGTACACATTAGTTTAAAGCATTAACCTAGCAAGAGTAAGACATCCATCCTTTGAGAATACTCTAGGTAGGAATCTAATCAACAGTCTGAAGTAGTTAAACTGTCTCCCTAATCAGTTACCACAACTCCCAATCTGATACCACAGTGCCAGAGGTGTAGTATCAGAGGTCATCTCATTGTCATTACTTTAAAGAGCTGTCTCATGTCCACTGAATGATCTTCAGCATCATCTTCAGTGGAGACTGTCCCTCATCTGTCTTGGGTCAAGGAATCTGAGGCCACTTCTGAAGTCTCTACTCACAGTGCCTCCAGCTGGGTTAGACTGCTTCTCATCGAACTCTTGTAAATCAGTAAAAACTGGCAAATGTAATATTTAAGAAAGGCATCGAAATATGTTTTTCTTAAGACTTTTAGAAAGAACAGTAAAGATAAAATATTAATTACCAACAATAGGCTTTTTTTCCAGAAAACCAGGAGGATGAGAGTGGTTTTGTCTCTATCCAGATGAGATGTTTTTTTACGTGAAGTATGGTTTAGTTTCTAGAATAAAAGGCACTTTTCAACGTACAATCCTGCTGCTTATTAATGTGACATAATGGTAAATATTGCTTTAAACACACATGTGAAATGTAGTACTTCTTACATGTAGGCACTGACAATGTATCTTGATGTACGTGCTGCAACACTTTTGAGGATTAACAGCAGCAGTGTTTTCAAATTCTTGTGAATACTTTACTGTGATTCTTACATTGCACTCTGAGGTGCAGCTGTCTGTATGCCCAAGCAGCAGTTTAGCACAAACCTTGGCGTCTTCCATTTTCCCAGTCAAATGAGCTGTCTCCCCTCTCGCTGAGTTGCTGTGGATTTGAGAAATTAACTCCAAATCCCTCTTCTCAAGAGCTCTGGTTATCTCTGCCTCGCCTGCAGTCCTGTCTTAGAAGGGAAGCTCTTTTATTTCCTGGGTTTTAATTAATGGCCTTTTTTTTTTTTTCAAGGGACAGAATGGAGGAGCTGAGCCCTGGCGCTTGTGGAGCTCAGTAAACAGGTGGAGCTGCAGCCACTGTGCTCCAGCCAGAGGATCGCTGAGAGTTTACAGTGAATTAAGCCCCGGAACTGAAAGGTAGCTCTGCGTGGCAGGGGGTCTGCTAGGTGAATATTATGTGAACCGTTGGCCCGTGATCAGCAGGGTATAGAGAGACAATCAGGCAGTTTGATTGTCACGTTCTGATTCTCCAGACCTAGGGCAGTACGGATGTTGATAAACAGCCTCTGGGAAAATAGTGGGGAATAACACACATTCCAGTTCACCCCCCGGCACCACCTCGGATAATGTAATTACTTTGTTTTGCCCCTGTTGTTGGGAAAAATACAGATCTGCTCTCAGATTCCCTGTTCCCCCCCATCAGTGTTTCAGACATGACCCATTGCAAATGATGTTTAGTTATAAGGAAATAAAAAATATTTGTTCATAATGTAACACATGCTCAATGCACCAAGGCAAAAACAAGTTTATGTTATTATTGGATGTTATTACTTTAAAGTACCTATAAAGTGCACTTAAATTAATTTAATTTATGTTTTATAACTCTAACATTAAAATATTTAATGTACTATAATGTAACAATGTAATGAAATAAATAATTGTCTTCATTAATTTAAAAAATAACTTATCATACATGGAATAAACATAGAATATACAATATACAGTGCATTTTGTGTGTTAAGCATGTTTGCATGTTTGTGTTTAAAATAATCCCCCAAAAATATTTTAAACATTTTTTCCTGAGAAATATATGTTTTAAAAACACGATTTTATGTCTAGCCTGATCATGCTCCCATTCTGCTCAGAGGTTCTTAAATAATCTATAATGAGCAATCAGCTCTTTTCAACTTCTTCTGTCCATTCCTTAAACAAAGATGGACGTTTCTTTGTCTTTCTCATTTAAGATATGATGCACCTACTTTTCCACTTATACATGTTTCACTGGGACATCACAAAGTGTTTTCATCAAAATGGTTTTAAATCCCTTTAGATTGGATGGATTAATGCAACTGATCCAAGCCTTTACTGTAACATCCTAGGAATCAGATTCTGCACTTCTAAGAATGAATATCAGTAAAATATTAAGCCAGTGAGTTAAAAGATTTTAGAATCACAACAATTCTGTATAGATACACAGTGAAAGCAGCACTTTAATAATGCAAAGAGACCAGATTTATCTGGTCCAGAATAAACTTGACAGCTTTAAAGTTTTCTGTGCTTTTTTTTGCTCAGCTAATCTTTCCTGAAGTACTGGCTTGTACTACAAAGTAGGGTGTGACAGTTTATCAGCAAGTTGAGTGACAAAAGCCAAGGTTTAATATTACGTTCTCAAACTTCTGAGGCTCCTCTTTGACACTCAGTGAAAGGTAGTGCTGTGTAGATTTAATGGCGAGAATCGCTATCCTCTCTAGTTAAACACCGCATGATACAATGGCAGATCTATGAAGTCAACTCTGCACAGCATGAAGCCAAGAAAGATAAGTAATACCATTAAAAAAAAGCAAGTATTATCAAACACAAGGTCTCAGCTAGTGATTCCTGCAATGCTTTTATCTAGTTCCCCTCTGTAATGCAGTGTATGGGAACATACCAGGAAATGGTTTCTTTTTATGATTTAATAGCATGTATAATTATCAAATATACACTATGAAAATGACCCAAATTCTTTTTTTCAAATTATTTTTACACCGAACAATACACTCTTTATACTTGCAATTAAATACTAAAAAAGGCTTTTATCTGTGTGCACATGCACACAGTGCAGCATTGCATATTGTGCATTTCCATATTGGCAGTGTACAATGTGTTCTAAATTTGTGTATGTCTGAACCAGATCTTTTAATCCTCTGCAAGTTAAAGGACTTGTATGTATTTTAATATCATTACTCACATCTCACTTTCCTTATTTGGTTCTATATCCTGTGCTGCTAGTTCTGAGTACTTCATAAATAAACAGACATGACAGCCTCAGCAAACAGCACAAACTGCACTCCTGCACTAATCCTGATCTCACTGGTGCAATTTCCACTGGAAGGTGTCTCTAGAACATGAAATGCACATCCTACTTCAGGCATGAGGATAAATGATCAAGGTGGGACATGATTACCCATGACCTTCCTCTCTATGTGGTACCATAAGACTATTAAATGTCTTAATATGAACTGAATTGACATTTTTATTTTGGATTTCTTCACAGACTGCACGTGACTGGGATGTAACATCAAAGCTTGGCAGAGGAAGTGGGCGTCTCCACTTTGAAACAGGACGTGCTCCAGACACCACATTACACAGCTGGTGTGATAAGCTTTCATTAAAGAGCCGAGACTCAAGACTCACTTGATTGTAGCTCTGCGTCACAGCCCACCTTTCCACTACTGTCCACATCCCATCATCAAGCCTGGTGAGTACTGTACCTGGGAATCGTGGAACTAAAACTGCATAAGGTAGAGATTGAGTTAAATAAGGCATGTCCTAAATATAAACATGACCTGAATATACATAATAAGTATATTTATTTATATTTGTGAAATATTAATATTATAGCATATATATTTATTTCTACTTTATTTCAATATCATTTACATACTTTTTTCTGTTGGTAGTATTGTAACAGTGAACATGGACACACTATCTTGAGCTCTCAGGACCTTTGTCTATGCCAAATATGTTATAAACATAGGAAAAGCTAGGGTGCAAGGCAGGATACTCCCTATGATGGGACGACAGTCATCACAAAGCAATAATGCAGACACACAAACCAAGGGCCAACTTTCCCAGAAGGCAATTTACCAGCCTTAAATCAAGACCAGTTGGTAAATCTGTTCAAGAGAAAATGATCAAATGAAATTACACGCTGGCCTGTTTAATGAAATGTAGTTCAAAATGGAGAAAATGCAGCTAAGAATGACGAGTTAAAAAAAAAACACATTGAAATCCCAACAAGAACAAACAGATCTAGAAGGCTCTGTGACTCTGCTTTTCCTAACCTCCATGAGCCGTTCATCTGTACAGGATAAGAAGCACTGTGTTTGAGCACAAGTAAAGGCGAAAGCTTATCTGCTGCAGGATAGTTTAAAAACAAGTGTTCAGACTCCCAGAGGAGAGCTGCATACAAGAGAAACTGTCCTATTTCTCCTGCATTAGGACAGGAGTGTCAAGACTTAGCACATTGCACCAGCAGATCTGTCTCCTCGGCCCAAGCTGCTTGTCAGTCTCCTACAGCCTAGCACTGTGCTCAGTCTCCCACGTGTTCTCTCTTACAGTACCAGGGCTGCTGAAACTGGCAGGAGTTGTCTTGTGAGCTGTACTCAAGCAAAAAAAGAAAAAAAGCAAGGTTAGCTGATTTTGTTTATATGATACCTGTGATGCACAGCACTGCTTTGCTTGAGATTGCAGTAGAAACCAATTTAAAATTATTAACAAAAGTTATTAGTACTTTGCACTTAGAAGAGGACATCCCTTCACGTTATATACAATGATCTCCTCTTTTTCTCACTGTGACAAGGATGGCTGTGTGCTCAGTGCACTACATCCATCCAACCACTTTCTAAGGATTGGAGGGGAGCCAGAGCCTATCCCAGTAAGCAACAAGCACAAAGCAAGGTCCATCCTGGACAGGACAGCAGTCCATCACAGGACACACGCACACAGACAAACCTAGGGACAGGTTCCCCAGAAGTGAAATAACCCCTAGACGTGGGAGCACCTAGAAGATACATGAAGAGAAGATACCAACTTCTTACAGACAACAACCCAGGTCTGGAATTGAACCCAGGACCCAAGCACTACAAAGCAGTAACCACTGCACCACCAAGCCACCAGTGCACTACAGTACTACATAAACACACAGGCCAGTCAGCCATGGCCTGGACAAGCCTGGGGAAGTATACAGTATATTTGTTGGTTTATTTGTTTTATGCTTTTATCCAAAAAATACATCTTATCCAGCAACTGAAATTTCCATTCACCTATGTAGTTTATTTTACTAGAAAAAGACAGGTGAAGTACCTCGCTCAAGGGTGTAATGGGAGTGTCTAATCAGTGAGTTTAACCCCAAACCGTACAGTTACAAGTCCAGACTCTTAACTACTGCTCTCCCAGTAGACTTAAATGTTCAGATGAATTGTTCTTATGTTTTGCCATATTCACCAATGGTAAATTATAGTAAACCTATAGAGCACAACAGTGAGTGTTGAATATGGTGGCAAAGTTGTGTCATAGCTAAAGTAAATGTGGTTAGTCTTAAAGAAAGTAATGCAAGAATGGAGGGGACAATGGTCTTCAGCTTCTATTAAAAAATTACGTGGTTGTGGCTTTTGTAGTTGTGCTTTTCTTAGATGAAAGAAAAACCTACAATTCCAGCCTAGTAAATATTAAGCGGTTCAACGGACCTGTAAAGCTGTGTCAATCAGATCCCAAGGGCGAGACAAGTGGGGTGGGAAAGGTCTGAGATCAGGAAGCAGCACAAGTGAAGCCTGGGTGGACTTGGCAGGTGGAGAGCAGGAACGCACGCATACTGCGGAAACTGTAAAACACTGTTAGATTTGTTTTTATTCGGAAAACTTTTATCGTGGCCCGAGGTTACAGGTGGGCAGAACATAGGTTCATTCCTTCTCTCCCTGAACTCACGACAAGGAAAATGAGGGTAAAGTCATTGTTTTAGATGTTAAGAAGCTGGAACAAAGCTTGGACAGAGCACTGCTACAGCTGATGCGTGACTGTCAAGCGACTTTGAAGCTGGAATCCACTGTTCCACTGTAGCCTCCAGCCCAAGCTCAGTCCTCCATTAACAATATAATTTGGAAATGCTTGTGAATGGTGCTATAAAACAGGAAACATCAAGCCCTCCAGCAGGAAGACATTGTGATGTCTAGCTAAAACATGAAAAAAATGTTCTTCCCATTTTGGCAGAACAACACAATTTGGCATCATGTATTTTTACAGTAATTGACATCAAAGGGTTTTTTTTCCTCTGTGTAGGTCATTTGAATTTCCTTATTGGTGATTCGAAATTTATGAGACTAGGCAGCTGCTGTTAGGGGTGTTCATCTCAGGTCAGGTTCATCTATGGTTGAAATAAGCATGCACAGCTAATGGTTTTTACAAAGGTTTGCTAAAGGTTTGAGATCTTTCCTGATTTCTCAGTTCATACATCCATCCTTCCATTATTTGAAGACCATATATTTCTGGTTAGAGGTTTCAGCAACTTGGAGCCTATCCAACTCAGTGAATCAATTTATATACAGTTTGTATTGTCTTTAGTCTGGATTGGAAGACTTGTCAAAGATAAGAAAAACACCCTAGTAAGAGCAAACAGCAGTATGAGTGATAGTAATCCTTGTTTTTCCAATTCCTTTTCATTAAACTTCCTTTTAAAATAAAATAACAATATTCTGACTTGCCTCTAAACTAATTTTCAAGAATCAACTTAAAAAGAAGCCATAATGCACTTTAGAATGTAACCTTGATATTTATACAATTTCTGTTATTTGAAAATGTATTTAAATATAATGAAAAGGACACTGCTTGGACAAAATGAATGTTATTTGAACTACATTTATATGTACTCTACTAAAAAAAGTAAATAAATAATAATATATAATAATAATAATAATAATTATTATTATTTTCATGGCAATAATAATATAACTCTTTTAAAGGTGAGTTCTACCATTTTGCTATCTCAGTTTCTTAGACAAATTCAGTTCATCATAGTAACAGATCCACTGAGACAGAGCAAGTGGCAGTGATGAAAAACTATAACCTGCAAGCTCTTGCACTGGTTACCTGAGAACTGAGCAAAGAATCAAAGCATCTTCTATCTCACACATGCGTGTACTGCATTACTCATTCATGAGAAACACATTCGGCAGAACACAGTTGTGCTGTTCAGACTCATTCAACTAAGTGAAGTGTGTCTGTTCAAAACAGTGGCAGACATGGGGTATAATCTGAAGATTACTGGGAAGAACCAGCACTTGCTGACCAGATGCTGTCAGTTTCTTCAGCACCCTCTTAGGATGACAGTGATGTCTACATTGTGTACACATCTTCTCCTTTGACCCACAGAGCTCTGAAGGCTCATCCATTCATCAGGTAAAGCCTCTGCCCACGTATGACTGACATACAGTGTCCGTGTCATCCTATCGTACTGTACGTATATGACTGGCCATCAGTGGCTAATGCTCGATAAGGTGCAGTTTAAATGCACAAATCAATGTATGATTAAATAAAACAGATCATTGTGGCAAATCATTCCTCAAAGACTTAGTACAAATATTGAAAGAGGAGGAACTGTGGAGATGCAAGGTAGAAATCTGAGGGGTACATGGAACTCTGAGTAAAAAAAAAACTGCTAGAAGTAAATAAGTAAATACAAAACCCCATCCGAGACGCAGTTTAATGGGCAGTGCTCACCCCAGGAGTGGAAAGCCAAGTGCTGAGCGCCTGAAACACGGTGTGTGAGCCCTATTAGGCTGCATCCCACTTAAGGCTCTGCAAGCTCCATTTGTGAAGCGACTCAAGCTTCTGAGCAATTTATAAAGCCAACAGTTTAAAGTTTATTATGATGGAAGCACTTAATGATAGCCGTCACTGTGGGCTAAGGGCTTGCAGATTGTCTCAGAGTATTAGGCTTCTGGCGTGACCAGTAATTTCATGTCACCAGCGCTGCCATCAAAATGACCTTTGATGGTTTTACCCTATGAGGTGGACAGCTCTTTTTCACATTAGTGCACTGTAGCTTCTCCTGCAAGTCTATTACGCTGTCTCGGGCTTGTATGGCACAGCCATGAAGTTCAAGCGTTGTCATTAGTGGGGAAGTGAGCTCACAAAAGCAGCACCCCACTGTCTTCACTCTCCCTCAGCCCCACACGCCACCCTGGCAGTGCGCCTGCCTGGAGGGTGCCAGAGCCATCCACTCCCCTCCACTCCCTTGTGTTAGAGCTACATTTTAGCCAAGGATGCACTCTCTCTCTTGAAGGCTGGATTATTGTTTGTGATTTTATTGCTGACAATGAGTCAGAACATACACAGATAAATAAAGCAAATACAAGAAAAAAACACAAGAATGAATTTCCTGCAGGGCAGCCAAGCTTACATTTCCAAGATTAAAGAGCCACTTTTTGTTGTTGTCATTTTGTGTGTGTGTAGAAAATTAGACCAACAGTAGGTGCCCAATTAACACGATCAAACAGTCAATTAGCAGACCTGTGTAGCTAAAGCAAAAAAGCAACGCTGCCTTTTTTAGACTATTGTTGATTCTCAAATCTGTTAAATAATGGTTGCTTGGCTCTCTACAAAGTATTCTGTGGTATGTATGCAAAACAATTTCACAAATGATGGCATATACTGTGGTTTCGCTTTGAGAATATACTTAGAATTCTTCAAGACTGTCCTGGTAAAGGAGACTGGATCATCTTAATAAGAGAATACAAAACTGAATAACAGGCTAGACACATCTGTGCATTTGAAAAATATTACTTGAATATTTCCATTTCATTTTGTAATGTTATGTTGCTTTCATCAATAACATGTTGTTCCTAAATTACCTATAATGAAATTTACCCCCTGAAATGCTCACCTGGAGAGTGTTAGTTCAATAAAGATAAGAAAGCCCTTCTCCTCAATATTAACAGAGAGAGGGCAAATGCAGGTTATTTTTTGTATACCTTATATGAAGATCTGAATGACGGTGCTCTGAAAGCAGCAATCACTACTCTGTCTTAGCTGGGGTAAGAGCTTCCTTCTTCTCTTTTTCTACTTTTTATTAAAGAGTGCCAGCATTTATTAATCCCTTCAAAATCCCCATATATGTTAAAATTAATTTTAGTCTTTGTTCAGTTGTGTATTAAAATGAGCTGAATAAATCCCGCGATTAACTCAATTTTGGAGAGGGCCTATTTTTATTTACAATATATCTGGAAAGACAGTGTTTCTGTTGTGTAGAGGATATCAATAGCCTTTATTCTGTAAAGTGAAACACTGGAGAACTAAAGCATTTAATCATTCTGTCTCTGTACAGGTGTTAGTAGTGTTAGGTCTTAGTATTTTCTGATTGTAAGCCTTTGTACTTGATGCTTAATAATACCCAGTTTATTTTGGTCTTTCTTACATTACTTGCTTAATATATTTTATGGCATATAGGATGATATATTGCTCTTAAAAGCCTTTGTTCATCATTTCCTAACTTATAGGACTAAATAAGCTACAATGATAGAAATCATTGTGTAGCCAGCTGTTTTAGTTTTTTTACAAAGAAAATATTTGGCACCATGTAGACAGATGTGTGTTTTCCTTTGGCTGTGCTTGCCCTGAGCAGTTTCCAGCAGCTTATGAAAATAAACTGGGCTTTAATTTTAGTCCCTGAAAAACTCTAATTGAGCCTTTTATTATTTTTTAAAGCCTTAAATATATGATTGATGTTTGCTACCTACTGTACAGGGATTTTACACAGAGGTTTCTCAATAAAGCAAATTGTTACTTGACAAACTCATCTGCCACTATTATCATCTGCTGTTTGTGTTGAACAACAGGAGTTCTGCACTGACAAAACTGTAGTAATGGCTGCTCAAATTACTCAGCTGAAAGCTTTTCACCAAAGCAAACAGTATTAATCAGCAGTTCTTATGAAGGTGCTAATTAAAAACAATTTTCCTTCTCTGTTTGCAACACTAAGCAACATTCATTTGCACTGTTTCCTGAATGTTAGAATGGTATGCAGTGTTTCAGCCTGGATTAACTGTTAAGCACGCACTATATCAATTAATTTGTAAAGAAAAAAAAACATAGTTTTTTACACATACTGTACACACAAAAGCACATAAATATCAGCGACATTTTCTATTTTAATTTTGAAAACATTGTGGCTAATTGACTAAAAACATATGACGTCCCAGTAATCAATAATAATGTTTTCTTCGAGGAGAGATCTGCTATCCATTTTCAGTTTCTATGGGATGAGAAAGCCAATGACCTTGCCACAGAACCTTTTGTTTAAGACTTGCTGGTATGTCAAACAGGTCTGCTTTCAAGCCAGCTTTTATATTAGAATAATGTGCTTAAGCCATCAGTGAGTACCACTGGAACTGAACACTGAACACTGAAGAATAGGGAAGAAGGACAGTTTCACCCTGTTGTTTCTGTAATTATCTCAAGGTTAACAGACAAAGTGGAAGTGGTTCCTTTTTTTCCAGACCTCTGCGGATTGTCTCACAGTATTAGACTTCTTCCCAACCAAATTCCAAAACGTTTGCGGTCCGAATAATGTTTTTTTGATTTGTCATCACAATCTCAACCTGGCCCAAGTGTGCAAACAAACATACAAACGCAGGAGGAAGCAGGGAAATGAAACACCAGCCCACTTTCCCCTGGTGTTAGAAGTATGCTGCACTGAAATTAAACACCTTGGCATGGAAAGTTCTGCCCACAGCTTCTGACTCCTCTTTTGTTCCTGTGTGCCGGGCAGCTCAGTGACAAGAGGAAGAAAAGCAGTGGCTGTGCTGAGGCTGTACAATGGGGGAGCGCTCAAGGTCAGAGGGAGCAGTGGGTCTTTCACAACAAGCTCTCCCTCCTCCCCTCGCCCCGCACTCCTCACCTCAGGGGCCCCTCTCCCTGTCTGCGCTCCACCCTGACACAATTACCCCCATTACAAGGGTGGTTGTGAAACACGGCCCCTGTGTCACCAGAACAAGGCCTGAGAGACCTCCTGAATTTACTCCACCACAGCTCCTTGTCCCTTCCCAAAACCTCTCACATTTCATGGACCTGAGCAGCAACTACAGGACAAGAGGCTGTCTCCAGATCTCAGGCTCTTGGCACCACATCTGAATTCCTTACACATGATTAAAAATAAGCAGCAGTGGGGTTACAAATATCTGAAAAACAAACACTATTTTATGCAACTAATATACTGTGCAACAACTGTGACTATAAATATATTAAATCCTTTTTAATACAATATCTAACAATTTACAGTACCTGCAAGACCATACAGTTTCTAATTAAATGACGCCAGTCAGTCAGTTATAAGACCACTAAAACACATTTCTCCCATTTTAATTTGTGTTTGAAAAATGTTTTGAAAGGCCGCTCAGTGGGAAGCAGGTGTAGTACACTGGAGATAGTGTACAGAAAACACACCAGGCAGGGGGATTACCAGGCATGCTGAGATAAGAAATGGATAGAAGAAAAAGAAAAACTTTAAATTAAATTTCATTGCAAAAACACACAAAAGATGACGGTGATGAATAGAAGTCTCTAAGTCCATTTCTATGAAGAGTTTATCCATTTATGTTTTAACAACTTACCGCTGTTTATAAAGAGAGAATGAGTGAGGTTTATGTATACATAATTTTTTTTCCCCCTACTAAAAAACACACAGTAGAATGCACACACATTTATTCCTGGGAGATGCATCTCAGTTCTGCAGCCAACAACACCATCACCAGCGCTGATCGCTCTGAGTGGATTATATAAGCACTCCTTTCCCTTGCCTCCTCTCTAGCCCGTCTGGTTTTTAAGGAAGCAGGTGACTGAATGCTTTGAAACAAAGTAACACCCCAGACTCGGATTTCACATCGACAGAAGTGACAGGAGCATAACGGTCAAAAAGGCAGATCTGTGATCCTATCTGCTCTCTGGCACAAACACCACCACAAAACACCTGAGTGCTGTCTGGCACAGGTAACCACTGTGTGCAACTGAAAAGCAGCTCTGGGACAAAAATGTTGCACACTGTAGCCAAAGAAGGAAAAGCCCAGGCGCTGCTTGTCAGCCAGGTAGAGGTAGGAAGAGGATAGCAGGTTCTCTCATATCTGGCCATATCATGTGTAGGGCTATATGGACTGTAAGTGCTGTACAACATAATTTTCCATTTAGATGTAGTTATTACTTCTTAAACATCATCTTCTACCTTATAAACATTACATTATATAATGACTGATTTTCAGCTTTGAGCCATATCAAATGTTCTTTGGAAACAATGCAAATGTGTGTTTGTTATGATTTATCTATATTGCACCACATAAATGTGAGCTCTTTTCATATTATATCCAATACTTTGTTGATCTAAAAGGGCTTTCCAAATGACACTATTTTTCAATGCATACCATGCACATTTCACGTCTCTAGTATTTCTAAGACATGCAATGGCAGAGTTACTATCACAACTGGGAACTGCATGGTGAGTAGTTTGTCTTTACATCCCATTTTCTTTACCATTGAGACACAACTTGTTTATTTGGTGATGTGCGTTTTGCAGTGATTGTGCTGTGTGAACCGGCTGCGCCTCACTCATCTGACTGCTTGTGTGAGCCACTAATTTGGGTTTATCTGTAATGTGCCATGTTTGGCACTTGTATTTGGGTGCGTGCCCATGTTGTACTCTATAAACAAACACACTGTAATTAAAAACAGGATAAAAACCAACCCGTTTCCAGCTGACTATGTCATCAACTATTGCTCTGCAAAACCTGGATAGGTCTGAACAAACAACAATCAAAACTGAACCTCGCCATATTCTGTCTTCTCCTTTTTAATCAGATAACAACATCAAAAAGAAAAGCAGAATATATTTTAGCATTCCTACCACATGATGGGTAATATTTAGCTAAATATTTTCTATTCTCAACTTTCTTGATATATTTTCATTATAGCAGTCCTCTTGTATTTTGAACACCTTCAAAAAAGAATTTATATTTATGCACAATTCTTTGTTTTATAGCCTAGTTAAAGGTACTGAAATCTTTTCAGAAAGTCCTGCAGTTCTTTGCATGGCTTTTGACAAAACAAGGGGATACAACAGCACAACTCCATTAACTTGCACAAAGCACAGCACACGATTAAAACAAGATCTCAGAAACACTCAGGAGCTGATTTAAAACATAAAATCTTTATTTAATATATGGACCGATGCATTTCAGCCATTATCATTGGCCAATGGCACTAAATAATCTGTTTTTTATTTAACATCTGTATCGAGTGTTATAGCCGTTGTCTTTGGCTAACGGCGCTGCATGATCTGTTTTTAATCAGCTCCTCAATGTGACTGAACTCCTCTTTTACATATCAAAATTGTGACAAGACACAATATAAGATATACTGTGTGGGATGTTTAAAGCAGAAAATGCTATCATAATGGAAAATCTATAATAGCATAAATTTATCATATAAGTATTTTTCTCGTAAGACACAGTGCTGCAGCTGTTGTTCAAAATGCGGATGAAACACTTGCTGAATGGCCTGAGTCTAAGGCAAAAGCTTCTGTCCATCCACTCTGGTCACTGCACATATTATTGTTTTTATGGACGCCGCCTGGCTAAAGACCCTGTGCCCATAAAGTACGGCTGTCATTCCAAGCAGAAGCCTAAAAGTGCTGCTGTCCCTAAACAGATAATGTTCTTTCAGCACACTCCCTCATCTTGACACAGCGTACTGAGCCTAATCACACATAATTGGGTGGGAGGGGCAGGGGGCCGGGCAAGCCTTTGTGTTCAAAGGGCAAGTGGTCAAGTTAATGAGGCCCTTGTCTGACGCAGGGAGCGTACTCTGTAGTTGGAGGGGAGGAGAAAACCATCCTGTTTAAAATATCAAAAGATCGAGCCAGGCCCATATGTTTCCACTGTGCAGCCTGCCGCAGAATTGGGCAAGGATTAGCCACTTGTTTTTTTGGGGGGGGGGTTGGTTTTGTTTTTCATTTTATAAAATGGAAAATGGCTCCACTTCAGCAGCAGGATACAGTATTCAACTGAAATCCCCGACCCAAGTAAACGCATATTTTTCCCCCTTGCTGTTTCACGCTGCACACGAACACCAAGAAATTAGTATGGCTCTCTGATCTGGACAGTTTCATGATCTGCTGATAGAAAAAAACACTTCGAAATGTTTCATCCAAAACAAAATCTGCCCAATAACAGACCAAGGAAGAAAAAACATGATCTCCATGATCAAATAACAAAATGCTTACAAACAATAATTGTGGTTGTATAGTGCTTGTCATTACAAATGATTAGAAATAGTTTACATACAGTATAGGAGGGGACCCATCTACCACTCAACTGTAGCACCTACCTGGGTGACATACATCAGCCAAAAAATGAGCATGTCAGAAAAACAACAGTAATAGGAATTCGTTTTTGCTCTGGCTCCATAAAATTATGAGCAGGGTATTTTATTCTGAATGCCACAATAACTGCATGTATCATTTTTGCTGTAGTTTTGATTTTATTTGATGAAAAAAACATTTAAAAAACAGCTTGGGATATTTCCATTTGTTTATTCAAGAGTTATTATAACCATATGATATGGCTAGCACACATAAAACATAATAAATGCCTTCTTAAAATTCTTTTCCATATACAGTACATCTGCATAGTAAAAAGCACAGGTTTTTCAAGATCTCTTGATGGAACTTAGACAAAAACCACAGATAGTCTGGCTGACAAATAAAAGCTCATAAAGTGCCCTTAGCAATCTAATGGCGTGGGATAAAAACAGTGCAGAAAGGTTTTTGGTTTTCCAGGATGGCAGTTTTTACAGCTTGAAACTTAGGGAACCCACTTGATCTCACAGTTAGAACACCAAAAGCAGAAGCTATGTCCTTTCAACTGACACATTATATTAAATGCAAGGGTTATTTTGTGCTAAATCGCACTAAGACGTGGTACCTTTTGGTGCAACTGCTGAGAATTAACTGCTTTTTTGAGAGAGATCAAAACTATGGAAAAAAAGGCAGAAAAGAAAAAACGTACAAAGATGGAACTGTACTGAATGATTTCCATATGTTATTTTCTTGCATTGAGCAGTGCACAATTTAGAACTCGTGACACAAGCGTCAAAGTATCTCGAGTGATACTTCAAGGCCTTTCTAGATAAATTGCATTACACTGTGTCAAATGGTAAAAATGGTGAAAAATGGCACAGAATTAAAATAATGTTTAGTGTTCCTTGATTTTACACTGTAGATGTGATATATTCCTGGTCAATAAGAAGTGGGCTCCAACTTGTTTTCAGGCCATTAGAGCAGTATGGAATATCTGAGGCTTACTCTGTTATACTGTAAATTAGCCTTATTAAATGTAACAAAAGTAAAAATGTTTGAACTTCCGCCGATAAATTGTCATCATTCTACGTTGTCCATCATTGTCTTCACCTGCTTCGTGTCATTATTTTACACTTTGCACATTTAAACTGGACACACTTTCACGCTACAAAACCTTGTGAAAGTCCAGGCACACAATATAAAAAATAACAGTAACATCTTTAATACTGATTTTCATCACAATTTGTACTGAACGGTAGGGGAGGGAGAGGGGAGCAAGGACAGGGTTTGACTTACAATAAAAAAAGTTTTGTTTTATAAAACACTGAATCAGCTTCTGAATTATAATTGCTAACAAAAATAAAGGAATATAGTACCATACGCGGGTTAACAGTGATCGCAGGGCTGAGGCATAGTGGCAGGTGAGGAGATGGAGGTTCGCTGTTGTACCACTGCGAGGTCCTCTGGTCAGGTGTGCGTCTGAGGTCGGCTCCAGGTCAGAGTCAGCAACACAGGGTAGTGGAGATTCTCATCATACGACTGTGACGTCTCACTCTTCATCTGAAAAACGATGGCCAAATGAGGAGGACAGAGACACAGTCAGGAGCCCAATGCCGTAAACTTCCCTACTCAGAAGTAGATATTAAAATACACTTTACAAATCAGCAGCACAGAAATTCATAAATATATACTGTACACACAGTATTTATATTGTAATATAACACGTACTGAACACTTCTATAGTTATACATTCATGTCCGTCTGCATTTTTCAAAAAGGCGAGACAAACCTGCTCTGCTTCAGAACTTGCTTTACAATTAAAGGAAACACAAATACGGTACACGTGCAATTTAAAGCCGTGATTTTTCAAAGTCTGTCCGCTGCTGTTGTAACAGTGTAACAGTGGCAGCCCACACCCACTCTGTCATGCAAGCTTTAAGAGCATTTATGCGTCCAAAGACAAAGTATAGATGTCAGTGGCTTAGCTACATAATGCCCGCAATCTGAGGAGCCCAGTCTCAGGCTCAGAGCTTCCTGGACCCCCATTGTCTCCCCAGTGCCATCGACAGCAGAAGGGCCAACCAGTCTTCTCCCTGTTGGCAGAAATATGCACAACGACCTGTCTAATGAAATGAAGACAGACAGCCCTGGGCCCACAGGCTGGGAAACAGCTGCTGGGCTGAGGGACACATACTGCTTCTTGGTCTCTTACTGTCTCCCTGATGACTGCCAGAACCCTACCTGACGGCTGCCTGCCGGGGTCTCTCCCCATTCTGCAACTAAGAGCACCGCAAAGCCAGTGGCTAATGGGACCAAACTGAGTGTCGCAACACGGGGCCGCAGTGCTGGAGTGGCTGGTCAAGGGACAAACAGTACAGGGTGGGGGGGATGTTCTAGGATACACAAAGCTTGCGGAATAACAGCGTTTCACTTGGCTAGACTGGCTGCACTTCCTGGTGTAAGAAAGACCGCAAAAAATAGATTTGACATTTTTCCCAAGAGCTGTGTTGTAATTTTCAGAAATTTCATACATTTCTTTGTATGTACAAATACAAGTTCAAAGAAAACCTAAGAAAATAAATAAACTAATATACAACACACAGTCTCAAGTTTACAAGTATTATAAAGTTCAGATTCTACAATCCTTCATCCGTTTCAACCAGCAGTTCAAATATACAGCTTAAATAACACTGTCCTTAATATCGACTGAACATTTCTCCATTTTGTAGTAAAAGTTATACTTAAATTGTTTCATAAATAAAATGCACTCTAAAAATTGCTTTATTTTAAGGAAATTTACAGTACATACATGTACATACAGTATCCATGTACATTTAGTGCATTAGTTCATACACCACATGTATTTGTTTGCAATGTGCAGGAAACTGCCAAATGCCATTCTGGGACCTCTACAGTGTCCCAGCCTGCTCCTGTAATGCAGCCTGCATGCCCTCCATAGAGCAGCTCTGGCCCTCACCATCACTGAGTGGCTACAGAGAGTTCACGCTGGGGATGTTTTTATGTCAGTCCATAAATGAGATCTTTAAAAGGCTGGTTCAAGTCTCAGGGGTCCTTACCTTTATGAGCCATTCAGAAAAGGCTGAGCAGGAGGAGGGCAGGAGTGGAGACTTGACTGGCAATTGCAAAAGCAATCTGGCAGTCTAACCCCCTTTTTTACTGTGTTCAGGGTAGACACCACAGACTTCTTGTCTCTGCCATAGGCAGGGCCACTAAAACAAGGACTGCTATCTTCCAAAACATTCCCCTTGTAGGGGCTGCAGAAATACAGGGGTCGCACACCTAAATACCTTCAAAGAGTCTACTTCATATGCCCGTTTTCTTTTTTTCATATTCTGCATTTTATTTAGAACTTAATCGGTCCCTGAAGTCATTGAAAGTTGCAAAATACTCCAAATGTTCTTTTCCTTCTAGTATCCTGCTGTTTTCCTCGATGGGTGCCACGGCGCAGGAATGAGATGATCTAGCAAAAAACCCAGCTGCCTCGCCTCCTACCAGCCAGACCCCAGAAGTACCATTTCTCTCTGATCAAGTCATTTTGGCTTGGTATTTTAAGGGCTTGGGGGTGGATTTGAAGTTGGCATCTTTAAGCAATAAACTAAGAGAACTAAGACACAACAAAACGTGTGGAAAGAAGCCATACTGCTCATGTTTACACAAGTAAGTGAGCACATCATTTGAAATCGGATTAGACAAATAAGACTCCTGTGATATCAACACGCAACAAAAGCATACCAGAGGAATATTCTAAATAATAACAATAATAGTATTTTTTTTAACCTTAACCATAACAGAAAATAAAGTGTAATCATGTTCTACATGTACATGGATCAGGCATTTGACCTAAAACAACAAATATACAAATTAATACTTAAAACAAAACCTGTCACGCACACAACTCAATGTAATATTCATTTGAAAAGGTAATAAAAGTTTATGTATCATCAACACATTACAGTCGCCCAGTCATTTAATTTTGATCGGCTTTCAGTAAGCTGATCACAGCAAAGACTGGGGTCAAGAATTAAACAATTAATAAGAACAACTAACATTACCTCAGTTCATGCAATTAACAGAGGAATGCTGAGAGACAGCACTGATACCAGCATAATATCACAGCTCTTCTGTTACCACCATTGCACACAGGATACCGGCTTATAGACCGCAAGGGCTGAGCTCTGAGGTTTGCAGTCCTGATTCAAGTAAGATAACCAGCATGATTTTCAAGTAAAATCCCCTTTCTTTTAAACGAAAAGATAAATAGACTCCCTCCACCCCTCGATATGTGTTATCTCCTTCCACACCACTCCATGTGCAGGCAGTATTTGAACCCTCGACCTGATTATCTGGAGGCCAGTTGCCCAACACTAAGCCAAGAGAAACCCAGCGGCCTATTCCAGGCAGGGACACATTTACATTAAAAATTCACCCCATGCTTAGGAAAGGAAAAATTCAGAGCTAGCAGAGGTGAAAAGTTTAACAAGCAAAGCTGTTCCTCCTGATCACTCGCTGCTAATCGGCTTCATGGGTGGCTGGTTAAATCTGTATTATTTTTAATCGCAGCGCTGCCAAGATGGAAGTCATTTATTTTATTGCCACTCTCTTTTTCTTTGCAAAAAAAACAGCTCAAGAAGGGGGAACAAGAGCTACAGTAGGGTGAACGTCCCTGAAGAGGACAGATGCTGAGAAAGACAGACAGAAAGAGCAGGAGGGGTTCAGCAGGAGGCTGCAGAAGATGATCGACACAAGGGGTTAATGCACGGGGGCAAAATTAAAATTCATGAATCTCTTCACAACCATTTGTGTAACAAGATTAAGATGGGACGGCAGAAAATAGCTGCATTATCAGGCTTCTTACAGTTCTCCAGCTGGTTACGCTCTATTCCAAAACAGTGGGGATAAGAGGATAACATGCAGCCTTGAAAAAACGTGGCATCTCCCTGCTTGTCGAGAAGGGCTCATCCGAAAAAGAATAGGGAACGCTGGGCCTGCAGGAACAAACAAGGGGAGGAGCGCCAAGCCACAGGGAAGTCAGGGCTGAGAGCCTGCCAAGACATCCACACAGCCCAGGCTCGGTATCTACCAGGCAGAGAGCACAAACAAATTCAGTCCTTTCAGACAGCTTGAATTACAAACCTTTCAGATCCCAATATTTGTTGCTTTGTATTCAGGACATTTTAATCTAAGGGGGAAAAAAAGTATGCCTGCATAATGGTATCTTGATTACAGCAAATATCACTGCTATAAATATTTTGAAATTGTTGCATTATTACTTCTGCCTTTTCATAGAATTGCCCTGTAAAAGCTAAATCTTGTTTGCCTTTCACTTAAACTTAACTGAAAGGAAATGACACTAATTCTTTCTCAATCTGTTGATTTTTTCCTGAACAAATTGTGCATTTTATTCCACCACAGGGCTGCAGTGGTGAAATCAAACAACGGTAGAAGTACAGAGCACTAAAGACCCAACTGCGTCATGAACAGCAGCACTTGGGTATTCCTATTGATAACGTTCATCACAAAGGTGTGGCTTTACTTTTGTATCACTGTGTGTTAAAGGAGCTACAGTAAATTAATAAAAAAGGTTCATCAGCTCAGTATAATTAGTATGTAAGAAACATTAATAATTGAAGAAGACATGTAGCTTAACACTTGCAGTTTATTCAAGATTTACTGTATTTCAATGAATTTACAGAGAGTTACATCCATCTGAATTACAGATTCTGATACAGTGATAATATAAGCACTACAAAGCAAGCGACTGGGCGTCCTGTCTAAGATGTATATTGCTTATGAAGAGAGATACACAACATTTTACCAGCCAAACAACTCACAAACTATTGGGGCACAACACCTTGGTGTGTGAATGTTAATCAGAAGATAACACTGGATACCCACTTTAAGATAGTTTCATAGTCATGAAACAATTCTACCTAATTCTACCTAATGTGAGAGTGTGTGAGTGCTGCATAAGGAGGATAAGACTCTGATTCTCCTGTTTTCTGTACCCATCCCTTCTGTAATTTTAGACTTCAACAAATTACAGGTAAGAAAAGGTACTTTACTCAGGTTTCCCTTCCTCACAATTCAGAAAACATCATTATCTGAAAAGGCAGTGTACCACAGTAGGTGGTCTGTCCTGAACAAAGACCCCACAAGCCTTCAGGTGCATCTCTGTGGGGGGGTTGGGGGTAGGGTGTCCTAAGACTGGTCAAGAGAGGTGTACTGTTCACAAAACTGCTGCCCCCATCAGCCCGATAGCCGATTGTTATGTATCAATCGAAATGTGAATGTTGTACTGCTCAGCAGTGAACACTGTTTATGCCAGGGATAACTGAAAGAAAGAATCTCCAGTTTTATTCTGCATGCTGCCTGCTATTTGGTATACAGTCCAAGGACAAAATGTCTGTCTTAGGATAGACACGGACAAAAAAAAATAAAAAAAGCAACTGCAAAGGAGATGAGGGACCAGGAAAAGGAAGACAATGAAACAGCGAATGCTAATGAAGTCAACCACCCAGAGTGTTAACAGAAAGAACAAA